ACCTTTTTAGCAATAGGTGCAGCCATTATGCAGAAGTCTGTAAGTGCAGGCACACAAATGTCCTTTTGAAAGCTGGTTAACAGAGTTCCTGAAATCAACTCTCACCATGCTTTCACTCTCATTTGTATGGGAAGTGAAACTGTCTTTCCCCCTGTATTCAAACCAGTTCATACGTAACTGGGGTCCCCCACAGGTTCTGAAACTCTGAAAGACGGATTTAACTGCAGCATTGTTCTAGTAGGAACAACTTTAACCTAGTTTTATCCTACCCCCTTACTCCAGGTTTCCTTCTTGAGATCACTCCTTGTCAATGATCCGGGATGTCAGGCAAAAAACAAGGACTAAACTGACTGATGTTGATTCCAGCAGCAGGCTCCAGCTCAGGACGTGAGAAAGCCGAAACCAGTTACCTTTCCAGGATGGCTTGGCTGTTACAGAAACATAACTGAATGGACTATTTCACCCTGCAAACAGTCACAGAGAACAAATGGATTGCTGGTAGAGGAAATTACACCAACATCCCGGGAGGGGTACTGTTTGCACACTCAAAAGCAAAAGAAGCAAAGGTATCAGTTACCATCAGATTATTCTCATATTTATTTAAGTCTGTACTGATACAGTTGACTCTCAGTGGTCACATACTCAAAAGTTTAATTAATCTATAAACCAGGCAGACATGGTGTCATCTCACTGTCAGCTGGAAAGTCACAGATGGGGACACAAAGCCTTCTCCATCAAATTAATTCTAGGTTTTTTTGTTGTTGTTTTTTTTTTTTTTTTTAAAGGATCGTCATTTATTTTGGTTCTGCCAACACTTTTGCATTAAATGGAATTTCCAAAGAAAGGACCAGAATTAAAGAATTCGTGTTTAAAATACACTGGCAAAACTATGTGTGAAGACAGCTTGTTCTCCTATAGGGTGCAAGTCTCCCTATGTTTAAAAAAATGTGCTATGAAAATATAATGAATCTTGCATTACACTTGTATTATATCCCTGCAGCTACCAACCGCATGCAAATGGCACAGTAAGGCATGTTTGGAGGCATTCTGACTATTCATGGGGGAGAAGCTGCATTTGCAAAGCTAAATTAATAAGTTTGGGCTCTTAAAATAACAAACCAGTAAACAATTATTAGCAATGGTGCTATTTTAACATCATCTGTGAGTTGTGTCTGATTATACAAACCAGTATAGCTAGCCACACATTTTTGCTGGAAAAATGAGACTTCATTAAAATTAGCAATGTTTCTCCCAAAAATATAATTTTAAGGTTTTGGGAGGTTAAAACAAAGTGGGTGTTTTATTTCATCTCATTCTGTTTTAACTGAAATTCATCGTTTGAGCTCAAGTTTCACCAGGCTTTCTGACTGGCTGTCTTGCACATCTTTGACTAGTTGAATGAACTCTTTTCATCTTTGCTATTTTGTCTCTCCTGACTGCCTGCAGGCTTGCATTTGCTCAGCATTGCCAGCAAGCACCAAATAAGCTTCTGCTTTTAGTATCAGCAGTGTTTTGAGGGTAGTCCTGAAGCTACGCATCCTCCTTTTTGAGCCCTCTAATTCTAGTAATTATAACACTGAATGAGTTCCCATTTTGCAAGATAAATAAGCAGGATGTTAAGCACTAACAACTCATGTTCTGTGTTAAGTAGTAAAAAAAGGATCTTGATCTCCTCCTCCTCCCACTATAAAAAGACATTTCTGAGGCTCACTGCTGGTTCAAGCAGCTATGTTGGCCATCACACCCCCAGTCACATTCGGAGACATATGACATGGAAGCGGTAAAGCTCTGCAAGAACAGCTTGCACTGGTACAAGCAGCAGCAAAGATGCTGCCCAATGCAGAAGAGCCTTAAGTTAGAAACATTTCTGTTCTGAGCTACAGAAGGGTGTTGTCAGAGAAGCTAAGAGGACCAACAGGACAGCAGCCAGATGGGCCAGCAGACTCAAGCTTGGTGTATACTCAACGTGATTAGTGCCAGCAGGATGGACACAGGTGAACAGATGGACACACTTCTTCAGAGGAGGTGCTGAAAGACTGCACTGAGAAGAAGGAAAAGGTATTCCTGTTAAAAGACGCTGGCCACTGAGTGCTAGAACACCTTGAAGAAGGAAGCTGGAGCACAGGGATGACAGGACTTTCTTAGACTGGCTCCCTCCACACCTGCATTTCTGCTCAAGCTTCACCAGTGTTGTTTTTTTGTTTTGTTTTGTTTTTCTTCCCTACAGTTATTCTGATAAAGTGAACTCTTTTACGAATATTTATTTCTACCTTTATTGTTGCTATCAGTGCTATGTTTATTCTGATGAGATAGTGAAAGAGATGCTGTAAGGAAAAGCCTCTTTATCTAATTCAGAAAATTCAGACTATCAATGCAAAAGAACCATTTAAAATTCTTTTTCCTTTTTTTCTTTTAGATATCAATAAGCTTTTGTTTTCAGAATACTGATTCTGTCTAGGTAGTTGCACTTTGTGAAGAGATACACCATTCCCCACTATTTAAAACTTTATTTTTCCTGAAAAACAATAATAAAACCTGTTAGAGTTCTCTCAGTATTTCAAGCTCAGAATATAACTGCTTGAATAATTACTTTCCATCCATTTGTTTCTCATTTGGTTTCCCTGGGTCCGATTTCAGTGAAGATATTCCTTCTAATGTTTGTCTTTGTCAGCAGACAGTAATATTGGGAAGATCTCATAGTACCTGAAAGCATTACTGTAATCTAGCCCACCAAATAAAAGCTATGCTGTTTAATGTGTGGTTTACTTGTGTTTCTGGAACTTGATCTTTTGTAAGGATAGATTGCTGACCCACCTCCAACCATGAGGTTGGACCCTTTTGTCTATTCATCAAGCTGTGTCCAGAAACCAAACTGCTTATCCACGTAGCTTTTAATGTCACTAGAACACTGCCCTGAAAAGCTGCAGCATCGTCACACTAGTTTTAACAGCACTGAGATTCACCTACACACATGGTCATTCCTGAACCACACGAGAATTAGCTGAGCGTTCCCTTGCAGCCTGCTGGCACACCAATATTTGGTCTCTCTTCCTTAAAATTGGATTTAGATCAAACAGCAGGGCATGCTTCTGCACTTGCAAGGATTAGTTGTGACAGAGACAAGTACTGCAATGAAGCAAGGGGAGAAGAGTCTTAAGCACCTCACTCCAGTTTAGAGTTAGCTACTTCCTCATGAGGGGTCATGATGCTCACCAAAGGGCCCATCACCCCAGTAGCATACAGTACCCATTTCCAGTTGCCCAGCACCCAGGCTTCCTTCCAGGTGACAAAAAAAAAAATAATAGAACTAAGACAGAACTTTAGGGATTGTGAATAGCAATGCTTCTGCTCTTTTTCCAATAATCTTACCTAAAGTTTGTAATCCTTATTAAGTAATCCTTACCTAAAGTTTGAGAACTTCAAAATGGTAGACATTCATTCCAATATAAAATGTTGTGGTTTTTTGTTTTGTTTTTAATTATGGCATTTTTCACCAGTGCTTGCACTGCCTAAATGTAAGGATCCCAAACATAATCAATACAACTGTTCAATACAACTGTTCAAAAGTAGTAAGAGATTTTCTCTCTACACACTATATATGGAGCTTAATAATCTATTTCAGCATCTTAGAGATTTACTGTCTGATACTGTTAATACTCTTCTAATAGCTACATCCCAAGACAATGGTATTCTAACACTTTGAAAAAGTACACATCACTTTTAACACCATGGCATGCATATCTGGATAGCATTAGAAGAGGGATGAGATTCACACTTACATAAAAGTATGTGAGCCACTTTCTCTCCAGCATGTCACAACACATTTTCCCCAGACATTTGCCCCATACCTGTTCTTTTAAACAGCTTTTTCTATTATTTTTGTTTGTTGTTGGTTTTTGCTTGAAACAAAGACTTACGCTTTAGATTACCTTGATGACTCTCAGTAACAAGAGGAAGAACCTGAACATGTGCTTCCAAAATAAGTGGTTCAGTAGCTTTTTGCACTGCCCACAAATTACTTTAAAATGCAGGATTTTTGTACTGAAATTCAGGCAACAGAAAAAAGCCCAAATCTTCACATTTCTATGAAATACATAACAGTTATCAACTACAGGAAATGTAAAAAGGTGATGGTGGATACTCATGTTTGAAGTACCTACCAAGGCACTTAAAAATGAGTCAAGGCTCTTGCAGGCTTCTGGTTCCTACTGAAATTTCGCTATTGGATTAACGAAACCCTGAAGAACCTGGGATCAGGCATACATTAGTTCAATGAATGCAGAGATACAAGGGTAGGAGACAAAGTCCTAACTGCTGACACACATTTTCTTTATTAAAAGAGACTCTGTATATATTCCAGTTGGTATGCTATAACCAAAGGTGACTGTATTCACTTGAGCTTAAGGTTGTTATGGATGACCTAGTTTTGCCTGTTTACAAAATGAAAACAGAGAAGGAACATCTAAAATTGAATTGTAGCCCTGCTCCTTTTAATATCATCTAAAAAGTACATGTGATCCACGACTAGCTCCTGGTAACTTCACACCAAAATACTAGAGAAAGGCAAAACAAAACTATCAGGCATTAGATTCAATTTCAATTTGGGTTTTATTTGTTATGGCTGATTATGGAAGACATTGCTGACCTCAATAGTAATGTTCTGCTACCACATGAGGCTTTTGGTGTGTGTAACTAGAAAAGGCAGCATGTTCTTTGCAGACTTGGTTTGTGCAGAACTGAGAGATCACTTTGTCACAAGAAGCTATGGTAGATGTTTTAAAAAAATAAATTGCCAATTATACACAAATACCACAGAATAGAGGAGGTTACACAGCTGCACCTGGAGCACACAAAGGATATGTTTTATACAATGTTAAAGGAATTTCAACATCTGGGGATTTATGTATTTATTCTTTAAAACTAAAGCAGAATATTCCTAATTTATTTTTTCCTTCAGGCCATCAAAATCTTTCACTGCTGTACAAGTCAGTTACCCTTACCTGTTGTTTGAGAGCCTCTAGAGATTCAAATTCCAACTTGGCCAGTTTAATCTGGATATCTCTTGGTTTATCGGGAATTACAAATGCCATGACAAACTTTATTGCTAGCAGCAAGTGCTGGAAAAAAAAGTAAAAAGAAAAATATTATTCAATAGAGTTTGAAGCGTGGATAGAATAGTATAATACTTTTTCCAAGTGTTAGCAATAGATATAAAAACAATGATTTATTGTGACAAGTACACAGATAACATAGTATAACAATATTTAGGCTCAGCTACTCCATATTTTTCTATTTACTGTCATCCATAATTTGAATATACACATATACTATTTAGTTTATTTTCATAAAAATCCCATTTTCACTATGTACTCTTATTTTTCAACTTAAATTTGTGTTTATGATTCCAGATAAACAGCTTTTTAAACATTTTATTCATGCATAGAACGTGAATTATGGCACCCAGCACATAGTCATTTATAAACACCAAAACCACATATAATTACACAGAATTATACACATTTATAACAACACGTATATGCATGTGCATGTCATAATAGAAATGATAGAAACATTTTGTAAAAATGTTGAACAAACCCAGAATTTTTGCATTTAAAGAGTTATTAAAATCTAAAAACATTCCTAAGGATCAGATTAGAATAAAACACAATAAATTAATACCATCTTCAAATTGGTATTTGAGTATTTGGCAAAGTATTTGGTATTTGGCAAAGTCATGAACAGAAACTTTCTAGTAAAATGGAGAAATGTTCTGAAATTAAGATGCCATATTAGTCATCATTTGTCACAAAATATTGTAAGATTATTTATGAGAAAATGTGTATGAATTTCTGTTGAACTTAGTGCTTCCTAACCAGCCTTTAAATTTCACTTCAACATGCACCATTCCCCTCATCTCACTGAATACAAGTCAATGGTTCTGTTTCTTCATGTATGTTATATTTAACTATTACCTAAAACAAGATTTAATCATTCTTGCTTATCAATGGCTGAGCTAACAGCATGATGCATTTTTGCAATCAGGAGCTTGCCCCTAGTTGAGAAAATCCTGAGCAACATAAGGCAACATATAACATATGTGCTTAATTTTAAGAGTGGCTTAGGTTCCACTGACATGATGATGGTACTCAGACACACCTAAACGTAGACTGCATGTCTGAGCTAATTATCAAATTGCCCCAAGTTTTCATAAAAAAGACTATTATTTCTTTTCTGAAAAATATTTTGCTTAATTATATGATCTTGATGCACCAAAAATCCCCAAGATCCTCGAATTAGGCGAGCAAGAAGGTAGCAAAAATACTACAGATCCAGTAGCAGTGGTAGTGAAACTCTAAATTAGTCAATTCCAATAACAAATCAGATAACAGGAACAAAGCAAGAGAACAAAAAGAGATTAATGAAGAGCCAGACATGAAATTATTTTTGAAAATCTATAACAGAAAAAAGTTAGCAGGCCCAGAAAACAGACGGATAGTGCAAGGAATACTAATTTGAAGAGCTGAGAGGAAGGCTGAAACTTAATGTGACAGTAAAACATCATCGATGAGAACCTGAATACAGATGAAGAGGTTAATGAAGTGATTAACACGTCTGCTGTGTAAAGCGATGTGCAATACCATATTATTAAAAAAAAGTCATGACAACAGTAAAATGTTCTCCTACTCATATAAAAGTTTTCTTTTCCCACTCAACTTAATGGTGTCCCAACAAAAAATGCTGCAGCTAACCCTCAAAAGAAAAAAAAAAAAAAAAAAAAAAAAAATATATATATATATATATATATATATATATATATATTTAATAAAAGATTTAGGAGAATAATGTGTTTTAATTGCTTTAGCAAATGAAGAGTTTTATCATCCTATCACCTGAACAAAGCCCAGTAAGCAGTACTCCAAAGGTCTTTCATTTATTTTGTCAACAGACCTGGTACCCACACATAATGAAAACTGCTTTTGATACTGTTTGCCAGAAGTCTGTTTTCATGCTAGCACAACGTGGTAGCCTTAAAAAACACATAACACGATGGCAGAGCCTCTCATTCAGAAAGCCTTCATGCCAGAGAGTGCTAGATGGACAGAATACAGATGGGAACAGTCATTATTTTTGGTTGCCCTATGACTCATACAACCTCTTTAAAAGAGAATATATCTAACTTATTAACAGTTCATATTTTATTTTGGAACTGCCATTTGACTAAGGAAACGTAAGCAGTTATTCAAGAGAATTTGAGGGAAGAAGTAAGGAGATGAGTAGTTGTATTCATTTTATCATTCATATTCTGTACGGATTTCTTAATGTTGTTTTAGTATCATTTCTGTATATGAGATCCAGGAAAGGGAACCATCTGCTTTCAAAAAATAAATGTCTTAAAAGTACAGTATAAGTTGCCAGAATATACAAAAATTTCTCCTTCACAGCATAAAGTTACATTAATACTAGTATGAATATATTACAAGAAGAAACTACTTATGCTTGTCCAAATTTGTTACACAACTAGTGCAAACGTATTTGTCCAATACTAAAGCTTCTTCAGAGCTGGTTTGGGCATTTGTTTAAAGCAGGTTACAAAAACAACCACTAGTTCTAACTGCAGCCATCAAAACCCAGCATCGTTTCCAAGAACATGCCCCTCAAAACAATTTCAAGAGGACTATTTCACTGTGAGCAAAACCCGGGATAACATTAACACAAGCTGTAAGCTCCCTGATGCCAGCAGCAAAGTCCCCTCCAGTTTTTCAATCTGCCAAGTGGGCACAGAGAAAAACAGCAACAAGTCCCCCCCCTTGGTAAACTTAGTGCCATCAAACTCTGTGGTCTCGTGCCAGGTGCTCGGAGAGCTGGAGGAACTTTTCTATTCTGCGCAGCTACTGACAGGAGGAGAAGCAGCAGCTGTGTTTTGGAGCAGCGTCCCCAACCCCGTCTCTTCTAAAACGGAAAATGCAAATTAGGGTTAAATTCCTGGAATTTTGAACAGCTAATTTGATTTCTGCAGCGGTCTGACTGCAGCAACTCCTGTCAAAATCTACTCAAATGAAAAGAAAAAAAAAAAGGGAGGAAAAAAAAGAACAAAAGCAGTAGCTTCAGTGCTGGTTAGTCGATAAAGTGCATGCCAAGTGTCAGCTGGGAAGGATTTCAAAACCATTTTGTAAGAAAAGCCTATTTTACAACCTAATATTTACCAAAAAAATATCAATTAAAATCAGAAATCTGGACACAGTCCAGTCTAGAACTACATAATATGAAACGATGGTCTGTGGTTACTCAACTCCACATAGATAAGCAACTCTACACTGAGAGCTAACATATGAGAACGGTACATCACTTTGAGCCTCTGTCCTCTGCTGGTATGTGACTATTTCACATCCAAAGAAAGGCAAGGTAGCTGGTGAAGGATCTAGAAAACAAGTCTTATGAAGAGCTGCTGAGGTTGTTTAGCCTGGAGCAGAGAAGGCTCAGGGGAGACCTTCTTGTACTTTACAATTATCTTTAAGGAGGTTGGAGCGAGGTGGAGATTGGGCTCTTCTCCCAGGAGCCAAGTGATAAGACAAGAGGAAATGGCCTCAGACTGTGCCAGGGGAGGTTTAGGTTGGATATTGGGAGAAATTTCTTTACTGCAAGGGTTGTGTGGCATTGGAACAGGCTGCCCTGGGAGGTGGTGGAGTCACCATCCCTGGAGGTCTTCAAGAAACAACATAGAACTTCATAGCATGGTTTAGTGGTGGACTTCAGTACTGGGTTAAAGGTTGGACTTGATGATCCTCGAGGTCTTTTCCAACCTGAATGTCTCTATACAAAAAGCCTTTGCAAACGTGAAGGAAAGTATCACTGCAGGACCGTGCTATTGTCAGAGCAGAATGCATGGAAATGATTAGATTTTTTGCTACGACTCTGGTTCACAGTACGCTGACACTAAACTAAGCCAAGATCAAAGACTAGGAAGAGACCAAAGAATAAATTTACCTCTTTCTATGGCAACAGTGTTTAGCTTTGAAAGTCTTGTATCCTTCTGAGAGCACGAAAAATGAGGAAGGGAAGTGAAAAATCATTCTGTCAAGGGAGCAATACAGGCAAAGAAAAATTTCCACGGAGCTCAGGAAGTCCTATTAAATTAAATTGTCTTTAATAGACAGCAATAAAACAAATTTATGAGAAAATATTTCTGCAATATACATAAAAAGAAAGCATGAGCAAACTTTCCTTCCCACTTTTAGTCCGAGCTAGCTTTATTAGAGTCCCACTGGTGGAATAGAATTATCACAGCTGAGGGACTTTAAGAAAGGCCTTTCTTCTGCTACTCTGATAAATCCTGCTTTAAAACCTCACATCCCATATTATTATGGAACTTTAATAAATTTTACACAGAATCTTAGTGGGGAAAAAAAGCCCTCTGATAATTCCCCTCAAAATTTCATTTTACCCACAGAAACGTTCAAATTCCTGGGAGGTGTGGATGACACAAAAGGAAGTTATTTCATGCTTGTCCTATTTCAAGGTTTCTTTACCTCTCCCATTCAGTTTTCAGACTGTCTTCTGCTCCCATAGCCATACACATGGACACATTTCCAATCTAAATGCCCACCACAATCTGCATGTTCCATCTATCGCTTTTATCTCCAAACCAGCAAACCCATCTCTCCTGCATTTCCATGACCGTAAGCTTTCTCCTCCTTGCTGCCAAAACTCAAGGAAAACACCAAGAACAAAATCATCCTGCCTCAGACTTAATGCTTCTTGCCACTCCAGCACTAACACGGTGACATCCATCTCTGCTCTCACCTGGAATATGCTCAGCACAGGTAAAATTTTCATGCACTTACACCTGATGAGCTCCTGTAAGTCTCTACATAGCACATAAAACAATGATATTTCAGACAATGATGAAAAACAACGATTTTCAGCTTAGATCTTTGCCATGTTTGGGCAGTTTTCTCCTAGGAGCATCAGAAAGCACATTCTTGAGATGAGAGTAAGCCTTTTGTCAGCCTGCTTGCTGCCACATCAAAGCACAGAAGCAATGCATCTTTTCAGCACAACAGTAATCTATCTTTATATATATATTTTTTTTTAAATAAGCATTTTCTCTTTTCTTAAA